TAGTTCTATTGCTTGTTCGTCGTATGCGAGATATGATAAAATGTCTAAGGTGGGATGTTGCTTGAGGCTATATGGGATGTTTGTTGGGATGCCCCGTTCTAGGGACCCCTTTCCTCCTTATATAGTCCAAGGGCATTAGGGTTACAAGTTAGTTTCCTTTCTTACTAGGATTTGTTTCCTAGATTATTACAATAAGGATCCCAACTAACCAGGGTAGGTGTATGCCTATACCTTGTGTAGCATGTCGGTAGAGATACCACGTGTAGTTGTATTGTAGGACTCTAAGTTGTTGGCTTGGTGCCCTACCCTATGTCTAGGGGACCAGATATGTCCTCCATGATGATACTTGGGGGTCAATATCATCGACACCCACCATATATATTGTCGATAGTGTCATGGCGACAAAAACACCTAAAAATGCTCCACATCAGGTTTTGTAGCCTATCTTGTAGCGTTAAAATTTAATTATGACCATCGTTGTCTTCTATGGGTGGGTGGATGTCCAGACACGTGGGGACATTGAAGATTCAGGTGGGACACATGCAAGATAATCACTTAAACACCCATGTCCAAAACTAAACTGAGGATAGATCATACCACCAATTGTTGTATAAACACAATGCATATAGACTTCACTACTAGGCATATGATTTTTACAATCACATCCCATAGTTTTAGGGGTGATTCATATAGAAAACCACCTCTAGATAGGCTAGAACCATTGCCCTATAAAGCCTTTCTACCTCCTAGATATTCTTGATCTCACTTGGAGGCAAAAAAACAAAATAGAGGTGGAGGTATTGTCATTCGAACCTTTGAAGGAGTTGGCTTTAGGAGGTAATATTATGCCATCCTTAATGTCTTTATGAAGTTTGCTCATAAATATCTTGCTTAATTAGGGGTTCCATATGGAGAGATGCATTATGACGATTAATTTTATGCAAAATCTTTTCCCAATTCACTTGCATGAACTAGGCCCACATGATTCTCTAGTTATTTTGTCATGATTCCTTGCTTCTTATAGGATTTATAGGAGGTTCTCCATAAACGTGGATATTCCTAGATCTAGATGAAGATCTAGCCATGCATGGAGAGAGAGTATTTTTGTGAACAGTGAAAAAGATATTGTAATAAATAAGGATTTTATCAATGATTTCTACAAAATTATATATAGTATATATTGTAATTAATTGTAGGTTAGCATTTTGATACCAATTTATAAGTTGATTTTTTCCATTCCCCTTACTTGCATGGAGTAGGCTCGTATGATTCTTTAGTTAATTGTTTGTTACCAACATTGTCTTTTATGTTTGTTGTTTAATTAGGCATGTCCTTTGTGAATGTTTTTAATCCACTCATTAGAAATAGTTGCCATGTTATCTTGTGTTTTGTGCATCGTGAGCATCGTGAGGGAGGGAGGGAGAGAGAGAGAGAGAGGGGGGAGATAAGGGAGGAAGAGAGGAGGCTGCATCAGGTTGTAGGAGCTAGTGCTCTCCTCCAGTTGCTAGAACCGTGCATCCCAGCCACTCATGGATCCTGGTGGCACGAGGCTGAAGGAGGAAGAGTACCCACAGATCCTTACAACTCGAGGTTAGAAGGAGGTCTCTACTTGAGCCATGCATCCAAAGTCGCTCGCAGATCTTAATGGCATGTGTGCCTAAGGAACCCGATCAAAAGCTTGTGGATCCTAATGGCTCGAGGTCAGAAGCCCGCGAGGTAGAAGGAGGCCACACACCCACTATTGGAGCCACTCGAAGGAGAGGAGCAACATGGGGCGACAAATAAAGCACTGGATTTGAGAAGCCTATGTGTGGGAGGGTGAGTTGAGGGGGTAGTGCAGGGGATATGAGAGCCTAACTAGGAAAGAGCGGGGTGAGGGGTGAGACTGAAGTGAGGGGGAGAGAATGAAGTTATCCTTTTAGGCTTTTCTATTGGGCATGTGCCTTATTTACATAGAGACGGGCGTCATAAGAGGGCCACCACTGAAAGTGTGGCCGTATTTTCAAAGGCAATCCTCTTAAGAAGCCCGTCTTTGTTAATTGATTTTTAGCCACAAACTTTGCTCAATTGTCCTCTAGATGATTCTAGAGGTAGTAATCAATATTTCTACCTATGTAAATTAGATCCCAAGTCTATTGAAATCATTTTTGTAGTAGTGAGCTTATCGCATCTAGAAATTCATTTCTAGCAACGGTTACCTTAAGCCAATTGCCCCTTCAAAAAAAATTCAGAGGTGGTTGGCTTAAGACAACCGGTTGGAAGGCCACCCCTACAAATGCCACATCTTTATGATTGATGGCTTAATAGTGTCCGTTTTTTAAAACCGCCCTTGGAAATCATTTTTTTCGTCCCTAGAAATCATTTTCATAGTTGTGGTTTGACCTAGACAAGTAGAGAAATGAGCATCTCATGGTGTTTTTCCATCATAAGATGATTTTTGGAACATAAAAAATGAGAATTAGAGATCTTATTAGGTCTAGCAAATTAAGAAGAAGAATTGAAGAGGGGATGGTATGAACCTCGATGGAGCCAGAGTTGTTTGGATCTTGGCTAGCCTATTCGTAGAGGCAATCAGTGTGAGAGCATGATGGTGTGTAACAATGTAAAAAATTCAAGAACATTCAGATAGTTCATTATCTTTACCAAAATAATGTAATCATGTAATGAAATGTTTGTTTCAATAATTAATATGTTTCATTGCCTAATTCCATACTGCAAATAGCACCAATGGATTGCTCATATACCTGTTTGAGTGAGTCAATAAATCCATCATATCCTCTTCAGAAATATGGAAATGTAAAACAAGCAACATATATGCATTTCCCTCCCTTGCCTATGTCTATCCCTCCGTATCCCTATCTACCCCCTCCCAAACATTGTATAAGCTTGTAAGAGTGTATCCAAATATAATTCAAATTACATGGCCAAGTCCAAGCATGAGATAAACAATAATGAAATATTTAATTTGATTTTCTAAACAAAGTATGTTCTTTTCAATTTCCTAAGTATTGTTATCTCTTTAAGTAGATATTTTGTAGCATAAGCTGTATCTAAAGTTTGTAACCAATTTGATTGCTGAAATGGATGTAATACACCTGATCTATTATCTATGTAGGATTGGACCATGGTAGAGATTTTTCTTTTTGTTTTTGTTTTTGTAAAGTGTCACCAAAGGCTCTTATAGCCAAAACACGTCTTGCGTATCTGATGATACCCTAATCAAAGACACGTATTGGTTATAAGAGTCTCTGGTAACCCTTCATCAAAGATGCATTTAGCCAAAACACATCTCTGATGAAGGGTCATAATGACACGTTTTTACATGTTGCTGATGTGTACACGAGGCATAATATAAGTGGCATGTTTTTCAGCGTCTCTGATGATGGCTTACACGCATCTCTAATCTGCAGTTCTAGCATAGTGTTTCTACAGGACTAAAAAACACTCACCAAACCACACATCAGAGCAAACCCACAAACTAATTATCAATAAGATCAAGTAATTTAAGTTATAGGGCAATGTCCATTTCTTCATTTACCAGATAATCATAATAACTGATATATTTCTTTCTCCCTTTTTTTATTCGAAGGGCTGCTCAGAAGTATCTAGATACATTTTGAGACGGATTTAAGATAAACAAAACAAGTTCACAACATACCTGAATAGGGACAACATTATTATAGTACAGGATAACGGTGAACAAAAAAGATTAACTTTTATGCCATTACGGATCCTTGAAGTTTCTCTTATTCTGTACATTACCATGAAAATTTGGAATGGATGATAGTAACAAAAATTGACAAATATTCCCTCCGTTCCAAGTTACAAGATGTTTTGACTTTTGTAGATACATAGTTTTCTATATGCACTTAGATATACACTATGTCTAGAAACATAGTAAACCTAATGTATCTAAAAATGTCAAAACATCCTTCAATTTGGAACGGAGAAAGTATATATATGTTGTGGCAAAAAAGCATCATTTGGGCATGTTTGGTTGGAGGCCTGGCAAGCAATTGCCGCAACACATCCTGACCCAGGCATCCAAAAATGGACGCCTGGGATGCATGTCTGGACCAGGCAAGTATTTTTCAGCCACCAACCAGGAGACCCTAAAGGCGTTGGCACTGGCGTACACATATATCCTGGCACTGGCATCCATCGATCGTCCAAACCTGTCAATTAATAAATACTTATAATAACGCCATACAGAGATTTCTTGAAGGATGACCAGGGCTAGCAATGAATCACGCTGTTTTAATTTGGGACAAAATTGCATCACTAGAGACACAACAATGCAACTACTACTCATACAAGTATCGAGTCTTTGGGCGGGACTTGTTTTTCTTTTCAGTTATCGATTTGGCCATCGTATATATCAGGTTTCTGACCGTGAGATAAAATTATCACATGCCTAGGAATTATTAACATAATGATCGATCGAGAAGTGCAACAAGGAATGAAAATGTGTTCTAAGATAAGAGCGACACAAATGAAAACGGCCTTAACTTTGAAACCATATGCATGTACGTTTCTGTGTTAATAACGCTGGTATTCCGATCAGACCCCAGGCGAAATCTTCAAAATCAATCCCAAGTTGGCGTAAAAACATAGGTCATTAATGTTTTCTATTCTATTGATATTGATGTGATCATCATCCGGCTAGCAGCAGATGAGATGGCCATTTCTAGATGGACAAAATTAAGGGTGGGAAGATACGCTTAGCTAGCTACTTGGTTGGTGCATTTGAATGAACCAGCATGGACGCGCTAATTCCTACGATCCTGCAAATCTTAACGCATAATTTGTTTCCATATCATGGCGATGGTGGATTGATGGTTCCAATCTGTATCCTTTCCTTCGATCCACACGGACGGGACGGCTATAAAATGACCATCTCCGTCCCCCCCTTTCCTTCCAAAACCTTGCATGCAGTCACAGCAGCAGCCATTTCCCCTTTGATTTGATTTGCAGGCTAGGCTAGGGCTAGCTAGGGTGCCATGGCTCGCAAGAAGGTGACCCTGCAGTGGATCGCCAACGACGCGACCAGGCGCGCCACCTTCAAGAAGCGGCGGAAGGGCCTGATGAAGAAGGCGAGCGAGCTGGCGACGCTGTGCGACGTGGACGCCTGCGTCGTCGTGTACGGCGAAGGGGAGACCCAGCCGGAGGTGTGGCCCGACGTGGCGAAGGCGGCCGAGGTGCTGGCCCGGTTCAGGGCGATGCCTGAGCTGGACCAATGCAAAAAGATGATGGACATGGAGGGGTTCCTGAAGCAGCGCATCGACAAGCTAAAGGAGCAACTCCACAAGGCGCGGCGCGAGAACCACGAGCGCGAGGTCACGCTCCTCCTGCACGACGCCATCGTGGGCCGCCGCCCGGGCCTCGCGGGCCTCTCCGTCGAGGACATCGCGGGGCTCGGCTGGATGGTGGAGAACCTCCTCGTCGGCGTCAAGGAAACCCTCGAGCGCCACCACCAGGTCCAGGCCGCCGCCGCTGGCGCTGGGAAGCAGCCGCAGGGTCAGCAGCAGGACAACGTCGTCGTCCCCCCGCTGACCCTGCAGCTGCAGATGCCGCCTCAGGTGAGTCTGCAGACGCTGGTGCCCTACAGCATCGGCGGCGGCCCCGCCGGGCAGACGGACGGCGTTGTTCATCATCAGGCGCCGCCAAACCCGAACCCGCAGCCGCAGCCAAAGCCGCAGGCCAGCTGGCTGATGGAAGTGGCCAGGGCCGGAGGGGACCTCGGCGCGCTCGTCTACAGCGGCTTCGGTGGTGGGCGCGGGAGCTTCGGAGGCTCCGCCGGCGCCGGCACCAGCACCAGCGCTGCGGTGGCAGACATGCTGCCGCCTCATCTGGGCAATTTTGGAGCCGGATTTGGGTGGCCTGATGCTGCTGGCCCTTCTCATTTCCCTCCTCCGATGTAAGGAGGCCGAGGCGCTCCGTCCGCCACAGTCCGCACCATCGCATCGTCCCCGTCGTCGCATGCATGCATGCATGCATCTCTATCGTATCGTATCCTGCAGTTGTTTGTGTCCCGTACCGCCTATATACTACTCCATCCACTCCTATATGGTTCATTTCTATTTCTATATGTATGGTTCGTCGAGTCGTCCTAAGTATTGTACTTGTCATGCGACATACATAGTTATTAATATTAATTAAGCTATTTTATTTTGTGTGGTTGCTCTGTTACTGTTATGGTGTTGGAACAAAAGGGGATTGTTCATGAATTGTCACTCTTTGTAAACATCATATATCATCAATACATGTAATGCTATATTTTTCTGCCAGACATATATGCACAGCAAGTGGCAGGCTAGCTAGCCTGCGCTCGAGAACATTGTTTCTATTTTTCAGAATTGCTAAATAGCAACATTGTGTTTTGCTCCCTTCCAGCAATCGATTTTTCTGCCTGCGCTCAACCTGCACCCGCGACCGCGTCCGCCGTCTTCTTCGCCAGCTCCGGTGCGGCGGCTAGGGTTCCGGTGGCACCGGCGCCAACAAGGTAGGCGGACTCCTCCTCCTCCTCCTTGATCTGTGCCCACAAGAGACAAAGACGACAGCGGCGGTGGCTAGGGTTTCGGCGAGCCTCTCCCCCTCTTTCTTCTCCAACTCCGGCGGCTATAGAAGGAGCCGGCCGGGGGGAGGCAGGCGGGCCGGGCGGTTTAGGGCCCTGGCGGTGGTAGCGGCGGCCGGGCCAAGTCGGGGCGTGGGAATCTCGCCAGAGTTGGAGAAGATGGCGGCGGCCGAGCTCGTCGGAGTTGGAGAAGATGGAGGTGGTGGCAGGAAGGGGCGGGGAGGGGAAGAGGGAAGCCGCCACAGGCGCGGTAAGGTCTCGCCGAGCTCCGGCGGTGAGACCCTACTGCGCCGCGGCAGGGCCGTGGGTGGCGGTCGGCTAGAGGTAGAAGATAAAGTGCCAAAAAAACAGGTGTGAGGGGGCCGGTGGGGCAAAACACGTGGAGGTGAGGTAGACAGACTCTTCTATTTTTCTTCCGATAGACACACTCACACACAAACAAAAAAGTAGTTTCCACACCAGTAACACACGACGACCGTGCTGCTGTCTTTATTATATATATATATATATATATATATATATATATATATATATATATATATATATATATATATATATATGTTAGATGTAAGTCGTCGAACATGTACATGATTGTGGACCGAGACTTGTTGTAATCGGTGGTTATGGATCTACTATAATGCTATATATATTTTTCTGCCATATGTACGTTTGTACGCTACTACAGGCCCGATTTTTAGGGTGGTTGGTGATGGTTTGTAGGAGCAATTTTGCCTGCCGCCCCTACACAGGACGTTGCTACAGATCGCCGATTTGTAGGGGCGGTTGGCCAGTCATCCCTACAAATCAGATTTGTAGGGGCAGCTGACTATTTGTAGTGGCGGTTGGATACAGAGCCACCCCTACAAATGCGTTTTCAAAAATTCATGAATCTAGGCTAAAAAATATAATTTTTTAATCCGGTGAGGTCCCACAAATCCGATTTGTAGGGACGGCTATAGAGCCGCCCCTACAAATCGTGCCATTTGTAGGGACGGCTGATAATGGATTTGCAGGGGCGGCTCGTTTGTGCACTATTTGTAGGGGTGACTTAATATAGAGCCGCCCCTAAAAAAAGGTGTTGCTACAAATCATTTTTATAGCAGTGGTATATGCTGGCTAGTCAATGCGGAAGAAACGGAGAATAGCGTTTCTATTCTTCATCCGATAGATACATGTCGGATATGCGTGTAATCGGTTGTTATAAAAAAGATCGTGCCTTATTAGGTGCCGTTCTCATGTATGGTTTTGAAGCTACGACGCTCTACTCTTGTGTGCTTCCACGTTCATCGTTGGAGTTAGCATCATTATTATCAGTGATTAACAAAAATATATATATCTTTGCCTTGATCACCCACATGTGGGCTCATGTGGGCAGTGGCGTACAAAAGAAAAGACGGCGGAGGTTGGCTTTAGCTGCTGTTGGCTTGTAAATGGGCTTCGGTCAAAACCAAAAGGAAAGGGAGGCGCTGGTGGTACGCTGCTGGTGCACTGTGGATTGGTGTTATGGGCCACAACTCTAGTACAGGAGGAAGTGGCAGTCCGTGGGCTGGACCTAGGAAAAAGATAGGAAGCAGGCTGAAAGCACTATAGAACTATGAGTTGAAGAAATAAAAAAAAAACTATGAGTTGAAGTCCCTTTTTTTCTTAACAGAAAATTCAGAGCAGTAAAAATAAAAAAAATAAAACTGGACACTCGAAAATATAATATGCAATGGCATGAATACAACATATACATACATATCATTCATGATTTATTTATTTTAGTTTAGAAAACAATTATTTCTTACAGTTAATATTCATGATAGCTGTACCGATGCTGGATAAATTTTAAAACTATGTGAAAAATGTTGAATTAATTTATATTTCCTGTTACATACCATAATTAGATATTCTAGGTTATGACAGACGTCTACAGGGTACAAAAAGAAGTAGGTATGTGTTTAGTAGGCTCGTAACTAACATTTAATTCTAGGGCCACGTACTAGGGTTATGTATTGCTCTAATACTGACTACAATGGATCAGGAATTTTGCGAAGGAAATCCATAGACTCAAGATATGTTGGCTATCATGTCCAATGTTACATCCGAGTCTCATTATAGTCATATAGTCTCAACTACTATCATAAATCTTAGATTACATAGTCTACATGAACCAAATCATGCATAATAGCAAAAGAACCACAAGCAAACCAAGCGGCGCCCTCCACTGGCAACCTTGAGCATAGTAGGGTAGAGACCCGTCACTCAACCAAACCATCATCAAAGTCGTAGTTGGGCTCTTCGCAAAGTCGTAGTTGGACTCCTCGTTAGAAACCAAGTCTCTTTTACAACGTTTCGTGTGGCCAACAACTCACCATATGATACTTATAGATATGTGCAAAGTGGTATGCAACCTATTTTGAGTCTGGATCTTATATTCTAAGCAGTGAGTAAGTACAAGTACAAGTATGTAGATCCAAAGTATTCCATCCACTATAACCAAACACCTTTCCCAATCCACCCCATTGAGGCCACAAACTCCACTCTATCAAATCCCCAAACCAACACCCTCATTCTCATACCATTCTCAAGTCAGAGGGAAACTCCCACCCTCCTCGTCGTCTCAACCATCTCAACACGGACCTTAACTTCCTAGGGGGAAGAATAGTAGTTGCTCTCCTAGTAAGCATAACAGTAACACAAGGTCATCCAGGATCATAGACGCGGCTTGATGTAAGGCTTTACATAGTCTGTATAGGTTATACACCTGTATCCACATGATTGCCATCATCGGCAGTGGCTGCTGCCTAGGCACTAGTCAATATATAGTCCCCTCGACATCCTTAGCCCCGAGTCACCCTAGACAAAATATACATCCTCAAGGCTATGAACTACAGGCTCTAGGACTCTGACCCCCTGGTGCATTGCTTGTAGGTCTTGGGCAGCCCGAGTCTCAACACTACTGCCCTAACACCATATTTTTACTCTAATAGTAGTGGTACTATCTCCGGGCTAATCTCAGGCCGATCAACACATAATAGGGACGTGTGGTGTGTATGAGATGGTCCCGTGAACACAATTACCCCAACTTGGTCCTTATATGACAAAGGTAAGACATCTCTTCCAAAGAGAAGCCATCTTCCAGTAGCTGTCATGGGTGCCTCAAAGCCTCTGTAAAATCTGCCCACATAGGGCCAAGTTGTTGTGGAACTGCAAGTTGTACCCACCACATGTACCCTCAGAGGGTGCTTAGGTCACACCGTCCTAACCCGATCTCACCTAATGCGTTAGTCAAGCCGAGTTTTTGGTGGGTCAAATCGGATTGGTCATGTTGGGTGGCCCATTTTCAAGTCTATCTATGACAAGTTCATGATAAGGTAGAGTTGTGTCAATAAATACAATAAGAAAAGCATATAGCCTAAGATAATAGCATGTTAGCCAGGGTAATATGTAAAACAAGGTATGGTTCGGTCAATTCTATCATACTAGTAGCAAGAATATGTAACAAAGCTCTAGAATTCAAAATTGCATTCCTAATTAGGTTCTATAACTATACTTGGGATATGACACGTTTGTTGGTAGCCAGGTTGTCACTGAAGTCCTCCGTGTACTCTAGATCAACAGCGTTCTCCTCCAGTGTTATCAACAAAAAATTGGTAAAAAGAAATAACTGTAAGCTACTTTAGAAAGCACACAAAGAAATAATTATCGATAAAATCACAAGATCCAAATGCACTCACCTTTTGTAGAGATCATTTTTAGGAAAAAAATGTTACAAATGTCATATTATTTTATGAATTAAAATGATTTAGTCATGATTTTATAAATATGAAGTCCTATTCTTCCTATTTTCTAGAAAATTTGTTGTTGGTTTAAATTCCAATTAAAAAGAGGGTTACATGTGGCATTTTGTTGGCCTGCCATGTGGCATGATGATGTCGGCATGATGTGACATGGTGGAAAGTTCATTGATAGGTAGGGCCCACTAGTCAAATGTCAACATTGAGTAATCAATGATTAATGGTCATCCGGGTTTATGAGTTGTCAGGGCTAGAGATATATATAGCCAAGCTTGGACATAGGTTTGGGTCGGGTAGTAGGCTCAGGTATTTGTCGACTTCAAGTTCATTTTGCTTGGCAGTTGGGTCTTGACTATGAACCTGGCGAAACGTGGACCATCGGCTTGGTCTTCGTGTACTGAGCTCATGCAGGAACTCTGGGATGTGGCGTGTGGTGAAATATGCCCATAGCGGGGAAAACGTGAATGTTGTAGCCATGGGCGTTGCGGCGGCGCAAAGTAGAGCTCTTGTCGGCATTGACAATTCATGTGGGACGAGGTGCGATCAGCTCACCAATGCCAACGTGATC